CTCTCCCTCCCCACATAGTTCACGTGTTGTTTTAGGTACTTGGGATTCAGCTGTGGACCTGGGTGATAAAATTCCTTCACTGACAGAGCCTACATTTCATTGGAGAGACCTGCAGTTGTCTTCTAAGTGCTGTGAAGAAAATAAATTGGATGCTGTAGTATTGAGTAACATGAGTCCCATTTAGTTAGAGTAGGTTAGGAAACCATCTCTGAGGAGGTAATCTTGAGATTTAAGATGAGGGCCGAGCACGGTGGCTCGTGCCTGTAATCTTAGCACTCTGGGAGGCCGAGGTAGGAGTATCACTTGAGCTCAGGAGACCAGCCTGAGCAAGAGGAAGACCCTGTCTCTACTAAAAATAGAAAAATTAGCTGGGCATTGTGGCATGTGCCTTTAGTCCCAGCTACTTAGGAGGCTGAGGCAGGAGGATCCCTAGAGCCCAGGTTGCAGTGAACTATAATAACTATACTATACTGCACTCTACTGTGACAGATTGAGACTCAATCTCCAAAAAAAAAAAAAAAAAAAAAATTTAAGATGAGAAGTAGAGAATTAAGAAGAACCACATGAAGAACTGAGAGAAGAGCAAATACAAAGTTCTTGAAGTAGGAAAAGAACTTAGTGTGTTCTAGAGACAGATGAAACTGGTGCACATTGAGAGTGGGGAAAGTTGGTATGAAGTGAGGTTAGAGATTAGATAAGGGTCTGGTTATTCAGTGCCCTGTCCAAATGAAGAGGTTTGGGGTTTTTTTCTAAATAAAATAGGAGGTTATTAAAAGGTTTATTGTCAGTGTCTTGGTCTGATTTAAGTTTTGAAAATACCACTTTTTTCTAGGTGTACATTTTCCAAGTGGTTAATTTTAACAGTATTCTTATGAGATACATTGTTCAAATGCTTTATGTAAATGGGTATTTTATTGAAGATTTTTATGGCAGAGTTGAACATCTGGTTAGAACTACTTGGAAAATTTTCTTACCTAAAACTGTTGCAGTTATACTTTGAATTTAGGAACCTCAATGGTTCTGATAGCAAATCAGAGCAAAACTAAAATTATTTTCTTTTTGTTTTTCTGTTTTTCTTTTTTCACCAATCTCTCCCTCCCCTCTACCTTCCCTTTCTTCTTTCCATTCTTTTTCCTTCTTTTCCTTCCTTCCCACTCCCTTTCCTATTCTCCCCTTTATGCTTCTTGTCTCCTTTCTCTCTCCTAGAGGATTCTCATATGTGGCCAGGATTGAGAACCACTGTTCTAGCTCTCCAGAGCCTATTTCAGTCCTTAGTCAAGTAACCTTAGGCAAGTTGCCTAATGTTTCAGCATTTTTTCTGCATTTGTAAATGATCAAAATTACATTTTAAGGAAAATAGTGTCCCTGCTTATGGCTACTCTGTGAGTAAAAATAGATTAACCCCTTACTTTGGGCAGGTTAAGTTATTGTTGGGTGTGTTAATTTTCACAAGAGGATGTCAATACTGCCCTTAGGGTTACTGATCTATCCAGTTAACATCAAGTCACAAATTCTTTTTACCTCTATCTTCTCTCTATTCCCATTGCTATTTCGCTTGTACTGGTTTGGGCTGTTATCACGTCTTTGGTCTCTGTCTCTAGTCTTCCTCTCCCTGTGTATGCCACCCTCCCCCTAACTCATTCTCCACACCACAAGCAGAATACAGCTATTTTGTATTACCAAATAAGAATAAAACCATATGCCTTAAAATTTATTTAGCAGATATTTTTCGATCACCTACTAGGTGCTATATAATAAGCCAAGCACTAGTAATGCAACTGTGAATAAAGGCTCTGTTTTCATGTAACTTACAGTTCATGGGGAAGAAAATGAAGTAAATTAATAGCCTTACCTTTTGATTAGGGATAATTAATATAAAAAAAATCTTTAAAAATATACAACTCATTGTTTTTCTTTCTCACTTAAAATCTTTTAATCGTTTCTCCTGGCCCTCAGGATTGTTTTAACTCAGGCTTATTCACAGGCTCCTTTCTCATATGCCCTAAGCCCAGCCCCATTCTTGGTATCTATACTCTCTTTGCCACCAACTCTTTGTTCTATGACCACTGAATATTAAATCCTTATAGATAGCATACTTTTTCCTGCCTTTGAGTTTTTGCCTATGCTATTCCCCCTGTTTGAATCACTCTTTTCTCCTGCCTCCAAAATCTAGCTAACTTATGTTGCATACCTCTCAGACCTTGGCGTGTAGATCATTATCTCCAAAAATGCTTCTCTTAACACCTCAAGCCCAGGTTAGGAATTGAAGCATATGGCTCTAGCCTTAATTGTTAACACAGTTCTAGGTATGCTAATCTGGTAATATAATCTTGACTGTGCTTTTCAAAACTAATGAAAAGCTCAGCTGAAATATATAGATTTTATTCAGGATTTCTTAAAGAGCAGTCAGTCTTTTCAGTACTCTAGATCTCCTAAAAATGTCAGAATTGCTTTTACCTCACTTCAAAAAAGTACATTTACTTTTTTGATTATTATTTATTTTGTAAGCCACGAAAAGTCTTTTTAAGAAGGCAGGATACTATTTAAATTTCCACATTATTAAATATTCTGAAAAGATACCAATTTTATCTATTATGTAGATGCTCTGTAGCTTATTTAAACATTGTATTGTTTATTAACAGCTCTTGTAGAGTTTTTTTACTATAGTAAATTACAGTAATCTGAGGTGGACTTAACATATAATTATTGTGTTTATCTGTGATTCAGTAATGTGGGTTATTTGATTAAAAACTGCTCTTACAATGTGAGTTTCACATTGGATTGTTTAAAATCATAGAAGAAATTTGTTTTAACTGTTGAGATCACCGATTAGAGACGGTATGGCTAATAGTAAAATTGCTGCTTCTTGTTATAATTTTGTATTCTGTTAGATACTATAAAATCTTAAATTGTTGCTCTTTGTAATTATCTAAATGTACCAACTTAGATTTAACATCTGAAGATCTGAAGAAACTTTAATTCTTTTTTTTTCCAATAAAGTGTAACAACCTTATGCTCCCCTCAGAAGGAAATTATAATTTAAATCAATGGATTGGCAGCTGCTTAGAAAGAAGGGATTTATTAGTATTGTGTCTAACACATACACAATTACATCAAAATTCACCATATCTAAAATTTGAGTTTATTTCTGGATAACTTTTGGCAATAAGACTGTGAACACAAGGAGTTTAGCAGATTCCCCATATGTAAGTTCTGTATTTAACACTAATTGAAACTTATGTTTAGAAGATGGTCTTTCACACCACCAGAGCTTTATAGTTTGCTGTAGAAACTCAGTCTGTTATAATAGGAGTACTTTTTCATTTCTGTATTCATTCATGTTAAGAAACATATATTGAGCCTTCAGCATCTGCCAAATGCTAAGTCAAGTATGAGCGATACTGAACTCTTTCAACCTGATCCCTGTTCTATAGTAATGTGTTCACTTGTTTTTTTCCCTTAAATTCTGTTGACTCTATTTTCCCATATCTGCCATTGTTTATTCCATTCTCCTCTAACCATTGTAACAGATTGGTGTAATTGAAAGAATAGTGAATTGAGAATCAAGAAGACTTGGTCTCTCTTCATCTAGGTCTGCCACTCATCCCTCTGCAGTTTTGGCAAAATTATATAACTTCTCTGGACCTAATTATTCATCTGAAAATGAGGGGATTGGATCAGTTGATCTTAAGGCCCCATCTAGCTCCAAAATTTTGACAATTAAATTCCATTCCCTTCTGTTATCAGGCTGTGAAACTGACATATGAGGGCTATGTGAGTTATGTCTATAAGATCTGATTTATCTATAAATACATTTTCATGAAAACCTTAAAAGCATAATCTTACTGATTTTTATTTTGTCCCTGGGAATATGCTTATTGACATTAAAACAATCAATGTAACAGTAAGTTCTTATGTTTTTGACCCTTTCAGACTTTTACCAGTTAACTGAGCAAGGCCAAAATAGCAATAGAGAGACTTTGAAGCTAATGATTTGCTGTTATTAACACAGATTACTGAACTAGGAAATGGTAGTGCTTATTTTTCATGTAACTAGACTTCTTTGCTTTCAGTTTACTGTCTTTTGTATTTGGTGTGCCATTATTCTGATAAAAATAGAGTATCGTTTCCCTCTCAAAATTATTAATAATAATAACTTTCCCTAATTTCCCCCCGTTTGTCCTCCCATGGGTGTTTTTGCTACTTACAAGCTTATAAAAATATTTCATATTTTTAGTACAAAATTTAGTTTATTTGATAGTAAATGTGAATTAAAATTCCACTGTGAATATGTAAGAATATTAAAGACAATTTTGAAAATGAAAGGTAATGAAGAAGTACTAGCTCTACCAGATACTTATAAAGGTACAATTTGGTACAGATTAGTAGAATAGAATAGAACATATAGTATGAAAATAACCCCAAATACATATGAGAATTTACTATATTTGGTAAAGTTGGTATTTACAATAAGAGAGGGAAAATGGGTCATACAGGAAATGACATTGATACATCACTTAAGAGTTGGCATTAAAAATAAGGAAAATTTGGATCCCTGCTTGACTTCTATGTATCAAAGAAAATTTTAGGTGAACTTAAGTTTTATACTTAAGAAATAAAATTATTATTCTAATTGTTTTTAGTTATCTAGGAGTGGGAGAAGACCTTTCCAAACATACCACAAAACCCGGAATGTTAAAGAAAGCTCCCTGTAGCTGGTAGTTGACATTCATTGATTCTTTCAATAAATTGTTGAATAATTATTACATGCCAGGCAGTGGGAACAAAATAGTGAACGAAACAACCTCTGCCCTTGTGGAGCTTACGTTATAGAGCAAGGAGAAGGCAATGATCAATTGTTGTTTAACAAAAAAGTACGTAATATGTTAGAAGTATTGCAGACATGTAGAACAAAATAAGGATATATTCTTTTAAAGAGTAAGTACTAATCTGCTATCTAATGTAAATATTTTCATATAATTTTTTTCTTCAACTTATAGTTCCAATGACAGGATTTACACAGAGAGCAACTATTGATCCAGAACTGAATGAAATACATGTTTTATCTGGACTCAGCAAGGACAAGGAAAAGAGGGAAGAGAATGTCAGAAATTCATTCTGGATTTATGACATTGTGAGGAATAGTTGGTAAGGAACTCTTGGCTGTGCTGCAATCCCAATGTAACACTTATTTGAGATTGTTGGTTTATTAAAAAGAAGAGGGAATTGAGAGGCTTATGTTAATTTGTGACATACTTTTAAAGGTCAGTATTGGAAAAAAATATTGATATCTTTGTGTACAATGATGTTCAGTGAAAGAATATTACCTGTATGTTTTTCAGTTAATAGACAGAAGTCAAGGGACTTATATTTTACTCTAGGTTCTGCTGCCAAGTAGGTGTGTGAACTTGAGAACAGTGCTTTTCTAATGTCCTCAGGTCTTAATTTTTATATGATAAAATGAAGATGTTTGACTAAAGCAGGGAGGAAACATTATTATTTAGCATTTCCAAACCGGGATGCTTTTGTCATAGAGCTCTTACAGAACTGGTGCTGCACCTTTTGCTTTGGGAAAACGTGGATTTGGCTCTGACATTAGATCCAGCTCTAACATTCTGTGATTGCCCCAAAGTTACTATTACGATAGAGAGTGGTACTTTGCAACTAAGGAATTTATTATTTTCTGACTAGGACATCTATTTACAGTCAAAGTGAAAGCAATGTAGAGTGAGTCTTTTTATTGTGAATAAGTAGACAAGATAGCATCTCTTTCAACCTTTAGTTTGAGACTTAATGTAAGCTGTTTGTATTTGATAACTGAAGGTAAGTTGGTAAGTGAGCTATATTTGATGGACACTAAACAGACTTCAGAACTCAGTTCTAACAAATTCAGATTATTTTGTGTGACCAAAGCTGTAAAATTTGATGTGATCAAATCAATAATTTTTTTTTCTATTGGTAATCAGACATACAATTAATTTGCTTGCAGTGGTTGTATTAACATTATATTTGCTGCTAATTTTCTAGGATAAAATACCTTAAAAGCAATGTCTTGCAGGTCTTGTGTCTATAAGAATGATCAAGCTGCAAAGGATAATCCAAGTAAAAGTCTTCAGGAGGAAGAACCATGTCCAAGATTTGCCCATCAACTTGTATATGATGAGCTACACAAGGTATTCTAGCTATACTGACCTGTAAACTTTCCATGGCCTACAAACTAAAAGAATCCCTGAGTATACCTTTCTGATTGTTTTTAAGTAGATTTGAATGAAAAGTTATAATACATAGCAGACATTCAATAGCATATGTAGCAAATACTCAATATCACTTCTCCCTAAAATTCCTTAAGAGAATAAACATTTTTGCGTAGTCTATAATTCTTGGTACTTTTTCCTTTTCCGAAAATCGTCAGTGGCTGCTGCTTGGCTGCATAGATCCATACTAGCATGGCTTATTATTTGTACAACATGTAGCTTTTAGTATTTTGTACCTTGTTCTGTGATATGAAAAGGACCAAATAGATATATAATTTCCTGGTTTTAGATTTTCTCATTGGGTAGAAAAGAGATGACAACTCTTTTCTATTACCTTGTGAAAATGGTCTTGCATTCTGCAGTTTTAATATCACTAAGTATTCAGAGTAATTTCTTTAACTATTTCTCCCTTAAACTTAACATGTACTTTAGTGATTGGACTCAGATTATATAGTAAATTACTGACAGAGCCTGATTGTTATTGTTAGCCATGGATGATTTTTAACCCTTTGCACTTAGATGGAGTGTGACTTGACACAGTTAGCAAAAATTATAGAGATTAAAATTACTCTTTGAATGTATCAATAATTGAAATATTAAAAATCCAAATAAATAAGCTTGTATGAAAAGAAACTCCAGTTTTTATTCTACTGCCATGCTTTGTAAAATCTGGGGTATTTAAAAAATTAGATTCTGAGTAAAAAAGGAATCGAGAAAAAAGCAAGTGAGTGCAAAGGTTAAATTCTGTGCTGTAGTTTGAGACCTCTAGGTAAAAGATACTATAGGAGTGAATAAAAGCCCTTTCTATTGTAGTCTTCCAATTTAAGGGGTAGATGAATTTCCATCTATGGATAGAGATAATAACTCTATTATATAACACCAATAATAAATGTTTCAGAATTCAGTAAACAATTTAATGCTTATATAGGTACAGAATACCATTAGAACTTAATGATGAAATTATCACATTCCTTTTGCATTTCTGTTTTGGTATTGAATAAAATGAAATAATATTTTAAATTATTCTCAAATTATATGTGCCATTTAATATTTGCATTGAGTTAAAGCAAATTAAGATGTCAAAATTTTAAAAGTGTCTTTTGACTGTTGACTTTCATGGATTCAAGATGTCAGAGTTTTTTTAAAGCTATCATTTATTATTATGATCAATACGTGATTAACTAGATAAACCTCATTATTTGTTGTCTTCAGTAAACTATATCTTGGATTAGTTTCTCCTATCATTGCTTTTTTCATGTCTTCCACTGTCATTGTAATGTAGTAATATAACTCATTTTAGTATAAAATATAATTTTAAAAGTAGCTATGGTGCTATAAAGTAAAATGGAAACTTGAGAAAAATCAAGAGAAGCCTTTGGTAGAATGCAGTGTAATTTTAATTTTTTCATATGATAAGGCTAAGAAAGTTACCTGTATGAAGAAATTTTACTGTGACCCAGCGTGGTGACTCACGCCTATAATCCTAGCACTCTGGAGGCCTAGGTAGGAGGATTGCTTGAGCTCTGGGTGAAGACTAGCCTGAGCAAGAATGAGACCCATCTCTACTAAAATAGAAAATTAGCTGGCTTTGGTGATATGCACCTATAGTCCCAGCTCCTTGGGAGGCTGAGGCAGGAGGATCACTTGAGCCCAGGACTTTGAGGTTGCTGTGAGCTAGGCTGATGCCATGGCACTCTAGCCTGGGTGACAGAGCGAGACTCTGTCTCAAAAAAAAGAAAAAGAAATTTTACTATGGCTTCTGTAGTTTCTTGATTGTGCATTCATTTTTAAAAGTCTGTTTTATGTTGTTTATTATAGGTTCATTATTTATTTGGTGGAAATCCAGGAAAATCTTGCTCTCCAAAGATGAGATTAGATGACTTCTGGTCACTGAAGTTGTGTAGACCTTCAAAAGATTATTTACTGAGGCATTGCAAGTACCTCATAAGAAAACACAGGTATAAAAATAATTCATTGAAAACTTTCAATTAACATTATCAACTATTACTATTACCTAGCTTTGGAGATGTGACTTTCTCTTGCAAATTTAATGATAAGGCAGTATTAATACTGTGAAGATCGTAGATTTTGTAAATGCCTTGTTCTGTATATTTTTGCTTTCCTCTTTCAAAGGAAGATAAAAAGTGAAGATAGATATTGATGCTAAAAATTTCTAAATACAGGACAAGTGAAATTTTGCAACTGTTAAAATAATGGAAAAACAATTTCTGTGAAGGTGATGTGCTTACCTTGGAGTAACTCAAGGCCTAACTACTACAAATTAGATTAGCTCTAGATTATTGACATGTGCCCAAAGCTGTTGAGAGTTAACAGTAAATGTGGTGATATAGCTGCCTATACAATATATTTACAATTTGATGTTTCACAATACAACTTCAAAATATGGTTGTAGTTTTACATTATTACTTAATTGCAAAAATCACATAATCAACCATTTTCATATATGTCTCCTGAGTCATGTTTGCTTTTTAATTTAGCAAGTGATAAACTACTAAAAAAATGTAGAAAAGTGTTTGTTCTTTTGGTTACTGATAGTATTAGATGATAATAACAATTTGTTTTGGAAGGAGAAGGTTAACCTCTAATGATGGTGATAGCTACCATTTATTGAGCAATTATTGTATGCTAGATGCTAGACCCTGCATTTTATTCTCATAATCAGTCAGTGGAGTAGATACTGTCATTATCACTATTTTATAAAAGAAGAAAATGGAGGATTTCTTTTTTAAGAGGTAGGGTCTTTTCTCTGTTGCCTAGGCTGGAGTGCAGTGGCCCAATCGTAGCTCACTGCAACTCCGAAATCCTGGGCTCAAGCAGTCCTCCCTGCCTTAGCCTCCTGAGTAGCTAGAACTACAGGTAGTATCACCATGCCCAGCTAATTTTAACAGAGGCATTGCATTCGTCTAAGGTCATCCAACCATAAATGACAGAACCAGGATTTAATCCTGAGTATTCTGACTCCAGAGTGCTCACCACTTAACCACCACACACACACGCACACACATATTGTGTATTTAATATATTTACATATTTTATATAGTATGTATATAAATATCTGTGTGGATATGTTATATTTGTGTGCTTCTATCATATAATGTTTCTATCATATGCTTCTATCATATGTTTAGCTGTTCCTTTCTCTGCTTTTGTAAGTTGTGCTTGAGAGATAAATTAATGACAGAAACTAGTTTGGGGCATTATTGTGTTTTATTATTAGTGCATTTCTTATGGAATCTACAGGAGAAAAGTTCTGAATCTTCACCTTGTCTGGATGGCAAGGTATGAACTCTGTTTGTTAATAAGATTTAAGCTTGAAGTACCTTCATCTAATATTTAAGTTGCAAAAATTTGATTTCTTAGTATTTTACTTAATGTTACGCTTTGTGGACAAATTTCAGGAGATTATGTTGTTAGCTCTTTTTCTACTTTAGATATAACAGCTAGTAGTTGGAATATTAAATTGAGCTCTTTTAAAAAGTTTCCTCACCATACACCCATTAGAGATTAAAGGAAATTGTTTAGTGATATATATAAAGAATTGAGATTCACTTAAAAAGTCTTTCCTCTGGCTTTTTTTTTTAAAGACAGGGTTTCCTCTCTGTTGCTTTGTCTATAGTACATAGCTTACTGCAACCTCAAACTCCTAGGCTCAAGTGATCCTCCTGCCTCAGCCTCCCAAGTAGCTGTAACTACATGTACATACTACCACACCTGGCTAATTCTTTTATTTTTTGTAGAGACAAGGTCTCACTATGTTGCCCAGGCTGGTCTCAAACTCCTGGCCTCAAGTAATACCCCTGCCTCAGCCTCCTAGGATTACAGATGTAAACCACCATGCCCAGCCTCCTTTGGCTTTTAATTGAAAAAGTAATGCATACTTAATAAATAAATTAAAAAGTCCTCTCTCCTCCTAAAAGAATTGAATCACTCATCATCCCACCATTCACAAATAATAGCTTAATATTTGGGTCTATGTACTTCGAACTTTGTCCTGTGCGTATGTACACACATATATTTTGTTTGTTCAACTGAAAAATAGAAATCATCTTGCTTTGAATCTGATTTCTTTCAGTGAATGATGTATCAGATCTTATGTTAATAAATACAAATCCTAATTTTAATGGCTGCATGTTTTCTATGTGTAATTTACTTAACTAGTCTCCTTTTGTGGAATATTTAGATTATTTCCAACTTATTTGCGATTATAAATAATACTGTAGTTGATATATTCTATACTTATATTTGCACCCACATCCAAAAATTCTGTAGATTAGTGATATAATTAATAAATTATTAAATTGTCCTCCAGAAAGTTAATTTTCATTGTTTCCAGAAGTATGTAGGATTATTCATTTTCCCACAGCTAGGCCAGCCCGAGAAGAAAAATTATTCTTTTTAACACATTAATTACCATGTGAGTTGTATTTAACTCATACTAGTTTTGAGCCTGGAGCCTCCTGAAGCATATGTAACTCACATGTCTCTTCACCTTGGGAGCTGCGAGAAATATATACCAAGTTGGATATAACTCACACATAAAAAACAATAAAAATAGCAAATTTTTCATTAAATTAGAAAGGATCATTTTGTTTTCAAAGTTTTTATTCTATTTTTGTAATAAAACACTGTGAACCCAAGGAAAAATATTTTTCTTCTAGTGTGGCAGTCAATGTGTTAATTATTGACAGTTGTTTTCCTCCTTTAAAAATATTTCAGTGGGTAGGTGAAATGACAATTTATCATCAATCAGAAATATCATACATTATAGAATGTTTAAATTTCAAATACAAGCATCATTGTTATTGACTTGCACTAGTAAAAGCATGAAGTGAGGAGTAAAAATGTATAAAGTATAAAAGAAGAACCAGTAATGAATCATTTAAATTTTAAAATATATGATGAGAGACTCTAGCAAAACTTGTGGGTATGAGACTGATTTATGAAATAAAATGACTGAAATTGAAAGGCAGCAAGTTTGTGTGGTTGGACACATCAACCTTTGGAATTTGGTATTATGGGAAAAGAAGTATGCTAGCACATCTCGGAACTTAAACCAGAAAAGTCTTTTAAAGAGAATTTAAGAATCATAGAGACCCTTTCCATTCTTATAGTTTTTAATTAGAATAATAATAGATAGACATATGGAACCATAGTACTCTTATTATTTTCTCATCGTGATCACTTTTTGCTTTTATTCTGATAATAATGTCTTATATTGGACCTGGATGGATGTTGGATTCATATTTAAGTCTTTTAATCTTTCTGGAGATCATTTTGCTCATTCGTAGAATAGCAACAGCAACTAGATAAGGGTCTTTATAGGCATCAATAAAACTATTTAAGAAATATTATGGAGCACTTGCAATATGCTAGACATTGTCCTGGGCTCTGTGAATATGTTAGTGAAGGGAACCAACAAAAATTCCTGCCCTCAAGTTTCCATTCTTATGAAGAAAGAATGTTTTAATGTTTACCAATAAACATTAAAAGGAATTTATATTATTAATATCTGTTAGATCTGTTAGATGGTTACTATGAAAAAAACAAAACAGGTTAAAAGTTATTGTTTGTACAAGTGAGGGAGCTGGGGATGCAATTTTAAATAAGAATATTAGGGTAGACCTCACAGCAAAGATGGCATTTGAGTACAGACCTAAAGGACATGAAGGACTGAACCATACAGCTGTTTGAGGGGGAAAGTGTTACAGTCAGGCAATAGTCATGGCTGTGAGTTTAAAAAGATGCCTGAGTTATTTGAGGAGTAAATTGAGGAAGACAGTGTAGTGGAAGTGTAATGAGTGGGGTGATTGTGGTAGGTGATGAGGTCAAAGGGATAAGAAAAGGGACAGCTTGTAAAAGGCCTCAACTTTTACTCCTAGGGAAGGGGAGCACTGAAAAATTTTAAGTAGACACATTTTAAGTGACGCATTCAGGCTTATCTTTTCTAAAAATCATTCTGTATTTTATTCCAGAAGAACTGAGTAAAAAGTCGTGGATGCTTTCACTCAAATGGGGAATTTTTTCAGAAACAGCAGGTTTATGTGTTGGGAAAGATGAGTTCAGTTTGGGACACTTCAGGTTTGAGAAGTCTGTAAGACATGCAAGTGGAGATCATCCGTGAGCATTTGGAGAAAAGAGTTGGCCTGACATTACATTTGTGAGTCACTAACAGGGAGAAGGAACTTGATCAGGGAGAGTGAGAAGAGTGAAATGTTGAGCATTATCTGAGGACCACCATCATTTGGGGGACAGACAGTGGAAGAGACACTCCACAAAAGATGGAGAAAGTACAGTGAGATTCTGGATAAACTTTGAAGGTTGCGCCAATGGAATTTCTTGATTGATTTGATATGTGTATTAGGAAAAGACAGCAGTCAAGGATGACTCTTAGGGCATCTTGAGAATCTTATCTACTACTAATTCCAACTAACAATAAAAGGCCCAGTTTAGACATTTGACAGAATGTAGGCCTTTTTCACTACCAATCTCTTAGATGAATTCAGGAGTTTGAGGGACATTGCTACATTGCAAGCAGAATAGATAGAAGTTTGTATCTATGAATTGGATAGAACATTAAAATTGCCTTTTTAGTTCAAGTTTCATGCTAATTAGACTTATATTTTTATTATATGGAAGCTTATCCTATGCTGCTAGTCTGGATTATTTTTGTTGTTTTTAATGGAAAATAATTATTCTATTTAGTTAAAATATAAATTTTCAGGGAAAGAAGTATATTGTGTGCCACGGAAGTATCTCCTTGTTCTTAGTGGTGTCACATGATATAGTAAATAGTGTAACCATTGTTGTTTCTCATATAATATTCAGGTTTCCAAACTTGATGATGATTTGTGGGTAGAAATAGGCAAAAAAATATATTTTTTTATGTTTTATTCCTGTTTATTTAGGTGCAGTGCAGAACTATTAATTGAAGTATAAT